GGAGATTGACAATAAAGCAGCTCTCCCAATTAAGCAGAGTGAAGTAAAGTCATATTTTAAAGTTATGCAGCACCTTTCATCCCAAAACATTTCTGCAAATTAAAGATACATAATAATCAATGCTTTTGTGGAAGTGTTTTCATACAAAAGTGAAAAAAGGGGGGATGGGGATTAAACCATAGCAATATGTCAGATACCCATTCTTACATTTCACAAAATAGATTTGTAAATTTCTAAGTGAGACCATGAAATTCTGTGCTATATGAACTTAGTAAAAAAAAATATTTAATAAACTATTAGATTTTTTTTCTTATTTTGTCTAATATAAATACAAAATACCTGGGCTGAATATATTTCAAAACTTCATTGTTGGGCCGGTATTTATCTTTAGAACACATACTATGTTCTAGATCAAGGGTGTCAAACTCAAGACCCATGGGCTAGATCTGGCCCATGATGTGGTTGGATCCAGCCTGCGGGGCCATCCTGGAAAATGTAAGGAGCCAACCAGCTTTGGGCTGGTCTACCTGCGTCACTTCAGGCCGGTCTACCCAATGCAAAGAGGAAACATTGGACCAGTGTGGCTTTGGCCCGGTGTACCCAATGCAAAGAGGAAACAGGCCAGCAATTTGGGGAGTGGAGTCAAGCTGGCCACGCCCACACAGCTGACCATGCCCACAAAGTCAGCCATGCCCAGTGAGTGATGTCAAGCTGACCATGCCCACCCAGTCGGCCATGCCTGCCCAGCCCAAGGTCAACCACAGCCCTGATGTGGCCCTCAATAAAATTGAGTTTGACATCCCTGTTCTAGATTCTTTAAATCCATTTTTTCCAATACTGATTTCTCAAATATTCTTAGTCTACTGATTTCATAATCCCTGATATCTGGTGTTGATAGTAATGACTCTTTATACTATATTTGAAGGACCAAACCAGGTTTATATAATTTTTGTTGCATCTATTTTGGATTTAGCATAAACCAGAATTTACTGTTATATTTGAATTGACATAACAATGATTTACCTACCTACATAAATCTTCCAAAGCAGTCTGAAAACAAAGATTAAATAATATTTGCAGTTCTAGTTGTAAGAAAAAAGGAAATCATCTGTTTGCGGATTCAGAACTAATAACTAAGTAGAAGTTATTGAAAAATGGAATATAACTCGCAGTGGTCCATCTCATTGTCCCTGTGAAGTACAGTTACATTGGTCTATGAGATATTAATTTCAATCTATAGTTCTTGTTGCTTTATTCAATCTAACATTTCCTGCAAATCATTTAGGTTTTCAGCCAACAAAGCAGCAGCATCTGCAAAAATACTTAAACTCTAATGTCCCATTTCCAAGAACACCTTTAACTTCACCCAAAATTTATCTGAAAACCTATCAAAGGGATAGTATCAAACATCCCAGTCTTATACCCTGTTCAGTATTGAAGTATTCGCTAAGCATACCATTTATTTTCATGGATACATTATTTCCATCTTGTACCTCTCATCACACTGGCAAAGCCATAGTTGTGCAAAACATTCCGTAATTTAAACCTATTCACCTTATGTGATTTGTCTCATTAACAAATGTACAATCAACTTTCCTTTTAATGTTCATATAGGTTCTCTGTAATTTGTTACAGAATAACAAAATCCAATTCATATTACCAGGAAAGGCAGTAGATTCCTACTGGAAAATTAGAAATAAGGTTGACATGTGGAGATACATATGAACATATGAAGAACGGTTGCAGGAACTGGACATAGCTAGTCTAGTGAAGAGAAGGACCAGGGGAGTACATGAGAGCAGTGTTCCAATATTTGAGTGGCTGTCACAGAGAGGAGGGGGTCAACCTATTTTCCAAGGCTCCTGAAGGCCAGACAAGGAATAATGGATGGAAACTGATCAAGGAGAGATTCAACCTAGAAATAAGGAGAAATTTTCTGACAGTGAGAACAATCAACCAATAGAACAGATTGCCTTCAGAAGTTGTGGGAGCTTTATCACTGGAAGCTTTCAAGAAGAGACTGGACAGGCATCTGTCAGAAATTGTATAGGGTTTCCTGCTTGAGCAGGGGGTTGGATTAGATGACTTAAAAGTTCCCTTCCAACTGTTTATTCTATTCTATTCTATTCTATTCTATTCTATTCTATTCTATTCTATTCTATTCTATTCTATTCTATTCTATTCTAAATCCAGATAAAGACCAGATGTGATTAAACCAACTATATAGGCTAATACTTTTCCAGATTCAAAAGAAATGTTGCTTTCCCCCTTGAATGTCGTACAAAAAGCTTTTGAGAGATCAATGCATAAACATGCAGTAAGAATGTAGAAGTCTCTCATTAAAACTGAGAGAAAGGACCCTAATAGCAAGTGCCTGTGTTCTAGAAATATACTTTGAAAACTAACTTAAATGCTTTTTTGAGCAAATATCTATTATTTGATTAGCAATGGAATTGCTGGCTGGGAAGAATTACATTCAGAAAGGCAAATGGAGAGAGAGAATTTCAACAGTACAGAAAAATAAAATGTAATGATACAATCTTTACTTTTATTTTTTAGCACTTTTGAAACTTAATTTCCCTTAGCATTGATGCCTTGAGTCTTTCTGGTTTGGGGTTTGTTTTTGGTTTTTTTTGGCTCACTTTTTAGGGCTATAGAGATTCAGTCTGATGTGCAAGAAAGCCTATTTTGACAAGGGTATCATTTGAGCCTGTTTTCTCAGAACACGTCTTCAGAGGACCAAAATATGGTACATTTAGTCCTCAAGTTACAACAGTTTGTTTAGTGACTCTTTGAAGTTGTTGTTGTTGTTGTTGTTGTTGTTATTGTTAGTATTATAATTATTATTATTAGTCATATTTCTATTCTGCCCACTCTCCGAGGACTCTGGGCAGCTTACACCAAACACAGTATACTAAATAGCATATTGCCACCAACAATCTGGGTCCTCATTTTACCCACCTCGGAAGGATGGAAGGCTGAGTCAACCTTGAGCCGGTGAGATTTGATCCGCTGATCTGCTGAACTTGCAGTCAGCTGAAGTAGCTGCAGTACTGCACTCTAACCATTGCGCCACCGTGGCTCATACAACAATTTACAACAGCACCGAAAAAAGTGACTTATGATCATTTTTCACACATATGACCGTTGCAGCAGCATCCCCATGGTCATGTGATCAAAATTCAATGCTTGACAACTGACTCATATTTATGACGCCTGCAGTGTCCCGGGTCATGTGATCACCTTTTGTTGCCCTCTGACAAGCAAAGTCAATGGGGAAACCAGATTCACTTAACAACCGTATTACTGACTTAACAACTGCAGGGATTCATTTAACAACTCTGACAAGAAATGTTGTAAAATGGAATAAATCTCACTTATCAACATAAATTTTGGGCTCAATTGCGATCGTACGTCGAGGACTACTTGTATTCTGCTGCTTCAGACTAGTTTTATTTTAGTGAGAGATTTCCACATTGTTACTGCATGTTTATGCAGTGGTCTGTCAAAAGTTTTTTGCATGATGTTCAAGGGGAATGCAACATTTCAGTGTTTGGTAATGTGAGACCAGGAAATCCATTTTATTTGATATAACTATTTAATAATTTTATTAAATAATTTAATAACTATTAAATGTATATTCTGGGAAGCATACAACAACATACAAACACAACATAAAACAGAAAATTTAAAAATTCAGCATTGAGAATTAAAACATTAAAAATTTACAAAGAACCAGAAAAAAGGATGTCATTGTAAAATACTATGAAATTCATCAGACATTAATTTCTAATACTTATTTGAACAAGGACTTGCTTATCCTTAACAAATCTGTGTTCCAAAGTTAATGGAAGCAATTGAAAATTACGATTTTAATAAGATCAGCCAAAAGAGTAATTATATAAATTATTTGAACAACAAAAGTATTGTATGAAATTTAGCATTAAAAAAAATCCCTTTTATCAGCTAACACTGTTAAGTATTGGGAAACACACTGTGAGAAAATTAGATAATCAAGCTGAACAAGAGTCATGGCAAAAAAAAAAAAGAATTATAAGCATTTTAAAATAATTAATTAAAGACATTTTTCACTTTTATCTTTCATTCTAGATTACAGAGTGGATACTTAGAATCCTTGTTCAGTCATATGAAAATGCCATATTTTATTTCTGCATACATACACAAATACAGAGAGAGATTGCTAAAGCTACAGATGATACCAAAAGAAAATTACTATGAAAAGGACAATTTTTATCTAATTCCTTCCAGTTCCCCATAATCAATTCAAGAGAGCATAAAAGAGTGTTATTTCACTCAACATTTTTCATTCCTAACTCATTATTGATTGTGTGAGAAAAATTACATAATCAATTTATTTTTTCATGTAACTTATTATAACAATCACAAGGAGCAAGAATTAGATTCTGGATTACATATTTGGTAGCAAACCAACAGTTATAGGCATGTGCAGTTGTTTAAATATGACCTGGGACAGGCTTATTTGTCCAGTTTTCTACATTTTGGAGATTACCCCAAAGGTACTTTATCAAGAGGCAACTGGACTTTCTGGTTTTCATTGAAGACGTTTTGCTTCTCATCCAAGAAGGTTCTTCAACTCTGGCAGAGCTGAAAAAGCTGTTTGGATGAGAAGCAAAACGTCTTCAAAGAAAGAACAGAAAATCCAGTTGCCTCTTGAACAAGCATCTTTGGGGCAACCATGACCTGGATGACTGAGAATCTCCATAGAGATTCTGGAAATTAATAAATCCCAAGAATGTCATGTGGGAGAAATATTAGATTCATGGAGAATTGAATACGTTAATCTGAAATAGAAATTAAATTTAGTTTTTTGCATGACTTCTTCCATATAATGGAAGTGTATCCCATCCACTTTTTAAAGGTGCAGCCCCTTGTACGTTATTTTAAAGGTTCCTGTTTAGATCATGATTTTGATATGGATATCAATATGGATGCTGATATGCATATTAAATTATACTCACCATAGTCTGTTGGAAACTTCCTCCATTTTAACTGAGCAGTTAACTTAAATATAAATATCATCGGCCAGTTTTGATAAAATGGAGAGCCACGGATTACTTCTTCTTTGGCCTGCTGTTCATGTTTTGCTATATCCTGAAAGAAAGTTTCAGTTTTAGATAGCAGTAAAAGCAGTAATCCCAGTTGCAATGTATGGCTGTGAAAGTTGGACCATAAGAAAGACTGAGCACCAAAGAATTTAGGCCTTTGAATTATGATGCTGGAGAAGACTCCTGCGAGTCCCTTGGACTGCAAGGTGATCCAACTGGTCAGTCCTAGAGGAGATCAACCCTGACTTCTTTAGAAGTCCAGATCCTGAAGATGAAACTCAAATACTTTGGCCACCTAATGAGAAGGAAGGACTCACTGGAGAAGAGCCTAATGCTGGGAAAGATTGAGGGCAAAAGAAGAAGGGGATGGCAGAGAACGAGGTGGCTGGATGGAGTCACTGAAGCAGTAGGTGTGAGCTTAAATGGACTCCAGAGGATAGTAGAGGACAGGAAGGTCTGGAGGAACATTGTCCAGGAGGTCACAATGGGTCAGACATGACTTCGCAACTAACAACAACAACAAAAGCAGTAATATCGTAAGAAAAAGAGAACAGATGTGAAGAACAGACAGGAAGGATTCCTAGAAGGAATCAAGTATGGGAATCACATTTAATGAGAATTCTAGTCAGCATAATTGTTATGACATTATAATTTAATAGTTTTATGAAATAATTTCATTCTAATCAATATATTAATATATATTGATTAGAATGAAGTTATTTAGATTGAGTTGAATTAGAAAAGTAGCTGTGTGACACTGTATTTAGATATGTCCATTGATTATTGGATAACATAAGCCAGCCTCTCCCATGATTGATTGAAACATATAGACAGATAGAATCCTGCCTTCCTTCAAATGCATTAGATTACAAGTCTCAAAACCCCCATCAAACTATTTAGGAATTCTGGAAGTTGAAGTTCATATGTGAATAGTTATTGAGCAGCATTTTAATGGAATGCATCCATCATGACAGAAATAAATTGTAACTGATTTGATTTTTCCAGGTCTACCTCCAAACAGAGGGTTCTGCAATGTTAATCAAAAGGCAATTGCTCCAATTTAATACAAATGCACGTGAAGATGTATGTTAATAAGGCAACTGAAATGTAAATAATATTATAAAAAGTCCAGTCTGTACTTATTTAAGTCTGTATCTTGAAGCAATGTTTTTTAATAATATTATTGGCAGCCATTGCTAGTTCCTTCTAAGGCAAAACCCATTCATAACTTTTATGAAGCCCCTTTTATTAAACAAACAGTGAATTCCTCTCATTCACCTTCAGCAAAGTCTTTCAAGGGAGAATTTAGTCACAGACCTTATCTGGCTTGGAGACCTGCCAGGCTGATATCTTCAAAATTTGGCAAGGAGTCTAGGAGAGTCACAAACCAATTAGGTGAACTAATTGTCTCCTGCAAACTCCACTCCCCTTTCACTCCTCTTTTATTCCCTCTGGGAGGGGCCATTCATTGTCCACTTGTGGCCTTACTCCCAAGTTGACCCTTGTTCTTTAGCTGTTCCCTTCGTCTGGCAACTCTGCGTATGCGCACACTAGGAACAGGGTCCAGCTGTTTGTCTGCCTCACTGATGTCTGACTCTGAAGACAGCTGATACCTGGCATTCGGCCCTGGCCCCCTCTCTGCCTCCGACGCAGAGCCCTCATCAGACCCTTCCCCAGACTCCAGGACTGGCCCATGTTCCTCCCCAACCTCCTCACTGTCCGAATCTGCTGCCAGCTCTGCTGACCCCTGGCGGGCCACAACTAATATGTTTGGGAAAGGCAGATATGTTCGTGATAAAGCCTTGGAATACAGGTTAATAGTAAAGGGAGAAGACACTGATTAAACTGGTTTAATGAAGCCTCTCTTGGAACTGAAAATGAATGAACTCATTTATGCTGTGCGTTTTTAAAATGAGGCTCAGGGAAGCTTGCCCTTTACCAGTTTAATCAGAATTCTTTGGGTGAAAGTAATTGACTCTTTATCCAGCATTTTTTTCTAGTGGACGGAAGCCTGGAAAGTATGATAAAAGAATGTTTTAATTTTCACCACCTTATCAGTCATTCAAACATGTTCATTAGAGGGCTGCTTCATACAATACTTAGCATCCAATTTCTGACTACCAAAAATAGGAATGTAGCATCAATTGTCCAGAATCTGCTCATGTCTCTCTTGGGGTGTTTAAGTGCTTTATAAAATAATAATAAAAAATGGAATACAATATTTTAAGTATAAGAAGATGCATTTTAAATTTAAGGAGCTTATAACAGCTTAGTGGGTTTTTTATTGCTTTTTTCTTTTTCTGACTCTCTCTCCTTGTCTGTGGTTGAGGGATGGAAAAGGAGAAAAGTGAGTGTCCAGCTGTTGCATTGTGCTTTGTTTCATGGGTTACACTCAGGATTTTATTCAAAGACGAAAATGCAAAACAAGTTTAAACAAATAAGTAACTCTAAGAAGCCGTAGCATTCTGGACATTTGCAAAATGCTATGACCCTGTGCTGAAAACACTGGGAACAGAAGATCAGCAAGAATGGGAGATCCACAGGTTCTCCATTCTTATGAAAAATGCTTACCTCTTTTACCCTTAAGTAATTGATGGATGGAATTTTGATAAAATCACAGTTTTCCTCTGTAAGAACAGTAAGTACATCATGTTTCTTCTTTAAAGGGAGTGGTACCAAAGTCCCAAAACAGCACCCTACACCAAACTTCCAAAATAATTAAAAAGAAATAATAGAAATTAATATTTAATATTCCTTTATGTTTTACACAATTATAAAAATATGCATCAGTGTTATATACTTCTGCAACTTGTTGTAGGCAAAACAGTAACATATATCGTGGATGTTTATACTCATGATGACAGCTGAAATTTTTAATAGTTGTATAAAATCACTGAAATGTTCCACAATAGTGATGAATGGATTGAAAAAAATCAAGGCAGCAGTGGGTTTAGTCATTGCTGCCCTGGAATTTCCCTCCTGAACAATAAAATACATCAGGGATGGATCCAAGACAACTTGCTGTGGGCAACCCACCACAGTGATCTCACTGCGGCCAACTCACTAGGGGACAACTTGCCATGGATAATTTATACAGGATAATTAAACGTGATAAATATTATACACCAATGTTTCTTTGACATTATTTCCATTGACAAAAATGGAAATAATATCAAAGAAACAGTGGCGGATAACATTTATTGCATTGAGTTATCCCACTAGAATTGTCCGCAGCAAATTGTCCTGCAGTGAGTTGGCTGCAGTGACATGGCTGTGGAGAGATGGTTGTGACCAGCTTGCTGTAGTGAATTGTCCCATTCTGTCAGGGACTGCCTAATGAAAAATGATCCTGTCCATCCTATCTGGACTTCTAAAGGTAACCTATTTAAGGGCCTATTCTGATAAAGGAAAGAGTGATGAAGGCAGCCGCGTCCTATAGCTGCTCCGATATTAGAGGACACACTGTTCCCAAATGCATACAGTACTTATTTCCTTCTTGTTGACATTTCAGAAAACCCTGAAAACTCTGTATAGTACAATCTACATTGTCCGTAAGTGGAGAAGTATATAAATGCTGTGAAATAAATAAATATTAAGGAAGTTGATTACCATTAGTCCATAAGTTAATGTTCTCAGCTCCCTGAAGCTAATTCCAGATGGGTGCAACTATAAACACTATTTGAAGAATGGAGTAGAAAATTACTTCCTTACTTTTGTCCATCTCAATATTTGCAATTTCCCCTCAGCTGTAAACATATTCCTACCAGAAGAAAGAAACTAAACCCACAGAACAAATCAGGCTGGTTTTTATTGTCCATCCCCAATTAGAAATGTATTCTTGAATAGTGACCTTTCTCAGAGAAGATTGCAGACATTCTTTTATAGCCAAATTCTCTATCATCAAATCAGTACACTTTCAAAACAAGAAGAGACAAAAATTCAAATGTTGCTGTTGCTTAGAATGTTAAATTCATTTAAAGCTGAATCATATATCTAATATTTTTGTATAGAATGTGCTCTTTTCTAATACTGAATTAATTTTCAGATTTTTAGTCTTTTGCCTGTGCCTTCTCATTCAGCTATATTATTTTATAAAGATGCAGACCTTGCCATTTAACTAAAATAGATTATATTGACTTCAAATATTTTGACTATTTGCCTATATGTCCATATGATTAATTCCATTAACAAACAGATGAAAAAGCTCTTTGCATAAGGTGGATGCATGCATGTGGATGATAGGTTGTAGTAATGTATCACGAACAGTCTTTCTCAAGGGATCTTTGAGATATATAATAGAACTACTTATACTGAAATGAACTAATGTCATTTGCCCTCAAGGAATACAAAATTAATTTCTAATAAGAAACAAGAAAGTTCAGTGGACATGACAGTTGACTTTGACTATATCTGAAATCAGAACTTTTCTTCTTGTGACTGGTAGAGAAATAGTTGTAAAAAAAGTCATAGAACTTTTTTTATATACAGTATATGATAACTGTAGCAAGATTACTGTAGTACTAAGATGGAAAAATCTGGCATTAAGATATTGACATTATAATAGAATTTGCTGAGATGGCAAATTGATCTGTTTGATTACAAAAACAACAAAATCTATATTTATTGCTTCTTGGAAAGCAATTATGATTTTTTTTTGTGTGTAAAACAGAAAAAAATGAATTTAGGAACTTTGGTTTTGATGATTAGATAGGCTAAATTATAGAAAGAAGGGAGTTGTGACATAACTTTAGAAAAAGCGGTAAATAGAACTACAATTGTACTTATAACTACTGTAAAAATGATCAGAAATCAATTCTTCATTTTCTTTTGCTTTCATTACTAATTTTTTTCTACTTTTTTCTTTCCTTCTTTCTTTACTTTATTTCATTTGTATTAATCAAACTTTTGTTTTTTAAACTTTCAGTACAATTATATTTTTAAAAATATTATAAATGTGAGCTGTGTGAACTAGAGAAATAACAAAATCAGAACATGCCTATGAGGCAGCATTGCAATGAGCATACACATTCACTTCCAAAAGAGCTATAAGGAAAATGTAACACAAAAGAGCATAAAATCTGGTTCCAAAAGGCTCATTAAAACATGAAAATGCATAAAATTGGTAAGAGAATATACCAACAAATTTGGGCTTGCATGCAACCAATTCTAATAAAGGCATTTAAGACAGGGGTGTCAAACACAAGGCATGCAGGCTGCATTTGGCCTGTGATGTGGTCAGATCTGGCCCGCAGGGCTGTCCTGGAAAATGTAAGGGGTCAGTCCGCATCACTTTGGCCCGGTCTACCCAATGCAGCTTTGGACCAGTCTACCCAATGCGAAGGGGAAACATGCCAGCAGTTCGGAGAGTAGTGTCAAGCTGGCCACACTCACCCAGTCAGCCACGCCCAGTGAGTGGCATCAAGCTGGCCATGCCCACCCAGTTGACCATGCCCACCCAGTCCCCTGAGGTCAACCACAGCCCTGATACAGCCCTCAATGAAATTGAGTTTGACACCCCTGATCCAAGGGGTGCCCACCTCCTAGTTAAGGTGAAAAATGAAATTGTTAAGCAAATATGAGGTGGGAATTATCTTAGAATTCCATATGTTGTAGAATTCCTTTAATCTATTTCAAGAGGTGACTGAGGCTTAATCAAACAAAAGAAAATTCACAAATGGAAATTCCTCCTCTTAAAATTGCATTATATTAAAGTATTTTCAGATTGTTTGGAAAGCTGTAATCAAGATGGCCCAGTTAATCATCTCTGATGTCAGTACCTTTTTGGTTATTTAGTTTTGTTTTAAACATTTGAAAAATTAGAATAATTACACAATAGTCCTCAATAAATGGTGTTAGTATAGTTTTATTGTAAATTTTTCCAGGACATATAAAATGGTGCAATTAAAAAATGGTATTCAATTATTGTTAGTGCCAGAATATTTTTTTTTCTTCTCTTTAGTCATATCTAATTCTCAGAAAATGCCTAGACAAGTCCCTGCAGTTTTCTTGGGAAGCTTATTCAGAAGTCGTTTGCTATTGCGTCCTTCCTAGGACTGAGAGAAAGTGACTGGCTCAAGGTCATCCAACTGACTTTGTGCCTAAAATGGCATTTGAGCTCATGATCTCCTGTGTTCTAGCCTCAATTACTACACCAAACTATATCTCGATGCCAGAGTTAATGTAGCAAAATGTGGCAAAACTAAATTGCATTTATTTTTCAATCAGTAGTATTCATAAGGTCTTATAGAAAGGTGCATTTGCTTTACAGTTTCAATAGATGTACTCTAGCATGCTCAGAAATACATTTTTCCCTATGATGCATAGATTGACTGATAAAATAATACAATGAAGTCTTTAATTAACTATATATTTTATAGCAAGTGATAACATCTATCACCAAAAAAAAAAAAATCAGACAACATTCTCCCATCTTTTCATGCCACTCAGGTTAATTTAGGTCACTGTGGATGAGCTAAAGAGAGATTGCGGTTTCTACATTACACCACTCTCCAAGATTTTTTGCAAATATTCTTAGATCAAGGCAGTTCAATAAAACCAAGGGGTTTTTTTTCTTGCTAAACAATAATAAACTGAGCTAAAAGGTATTCACTACTTGCTGACACTGAATATTCATTGATTGGAGTCTGCATTAGAAATTGCTAGAACTAAACTAAGTAACCTTTGGTTCTGGGAGTACATGTCCTATGTTAAGGGCCAACAATTTACTGTTAATCCTCAATTTCTAGCAATTCCACCTAGCTTTGTCATGGCAGTGGTCAGGATTTTATACGATGCGCCACCCAAAAAGGATCTTTGTACTTACTGGAAATAAGAATTCTCAGATCTGGACTAATCCCAGACCTGCCAACATGATCCACTTGAGCTCCCAAATTAAGACTAGGAAACTATAAAGATTATTATGGTTGGTTGCATGATCACCTTGATGTTTAGACAAGATCTGTCATTTTGTCAACCTATTGAGTCCTTTCTAAGGACCTGGTATAGGTCAATATTACTTTCCCCCCCCTCTCTCTCTCCCTCCCCCCCTCTCTCGGAAGGACATTAAGGACTGCTCAATAAGAGGTAAATGTCAAACAATACTATTAATACATGGGAGAACATGTTTAGTGAAGTTGGATTCTGCCTTAGACACATGACTTAACCCATCATGGTTGATAGTCAAATATGGAAATACCACTAGAAAAAAGATTGTATGCCTAGAAAAATTGTTTGACATATTCAAGCAGTTCCTTAGCCCCCTAGAGGAGATGATCCTTGGAAACCCAGAGGCAGTGTTGGGTTGCGACCGGTTCGGACCAGTTCGCAAGGACCAGTAGTAAAGTAGTAAAGGCCCCGGATGTCATCATCAGTGATCTGCGCATGCGCAGAAGCTTCCCGTTGTGAACCGGTAGTAAAGGTAAGTAGAACCCACCGCTGCCAAGAGGCGATGGTCTTATGGCACCAGGCTAGAAACTGAGAGGCTGTAAATTCTTGTCCCACCTTAGGCTTGAAGTCAGCAGGTTGACCTTGAGCCAGTCCTCTCTTTCAGCCCTAAGAAGGAGATAATGGCAAACAATTTTATGATAATGCTGCCAAGAAAACCTCAGGGACTAGTCCAGGTAGACGCCAAGAGTCTTTGTTGACTTGAAGGGATAAATAAACAAAAATTGTTTTTATTAAAGGCATTTGATCAGATTTCAATCTTGTTTTCCTTGTATGTTTTGAAACAATTTTTTGAGAATAAAAACGTAGGTACCTAATTTGACCTTCTTAAATATTTCTACTAATATGTGCTTAATGGTAGATTTCTGTTAAAACTTACCATATCAGATGATGCTACCTCAGTTGGGTTTGATTCATTTGTAACAGAAGTCACCTGAGGAGGCACTGAAATAAAATGTCCTCCAATAAGTCTTTTGTAATACTTTGTCTGTGGCTTAACAGAGCCTCTAAGTATAATATAGAATCCTTGGCTTGCATCCACTGGAATTAAAATTAAAATAGAAACAGATCATAATTTCACATCCAAATTACAGAAAATGAACTAATACGTCTACAGCATTCAGAAGTATAATAAACCTACAAGTGTAATCTAGCCAACACATTTTCATGAAACATTGAAAACTCTCAATTTTCCTCTTTTGCTTTCAAAAGAAAAATGTATGATTGATTGATGACATCCATATCTAAATTAAACATACGTGCTCCTAACTCTGAGATGGTAAATCATTTGATCCCACAATGACATCGACCACCAAAATGCATATATTTTATTTGACAAAAATTATAGCCTGTCAAATATTTAGCCATGAAATCCTCTTTTTATAATAGCAAGAATATTTGCAACCAGCATATAGTTGTTGTGGCCCCGCCCTCTGAGCCTGTCCCATCGGAGGAAGAAAGCTCCGAGCATGAGGAAGAGGAGTCAGCCAGGCCTCCCTCTCCAGGCCCCTCCCCTCTGGCACTGTCTCAGGTGCCGGCCGAGGGAGAGGAGATTAGCAGGGAGACAGGTGGCTCGGATGAGAGCGAGGGAGAGACATCATTCCTGGACGCACACCTCCGAAGGCGTGATAAACGATTGCAGCAGCTCAGGAGGCGTGCTAGGGATTAGAACTGAGTCACTGGACCACACCCCAGAGACTATATAATAGAGGGTGGTGGCCAGCGATCCCTGTGACGAACAAAAGTAAACCTTGGATAGTCACTAAAGCCTCGTCCGGAAACTGCTGAGAGGAATATTATTCTGATTGGACTTTTGTACGCTAAGTATCTTATCTTTCTGTTTTGTGGAAATAAATGCACTTGGCAGACGGTGTGTAAATCACTGCCAAGTTGGAGATAAACACCTGGGTGTGTGACAAAGTGTTTCCTTAACCCTCGGCTGGCTGTGTTTGTGTGTGTGTGTGGACGGGGACAGATCAATAGTGTGCACATGTGTAGAACCAGGGATGGGCTCCTGGGGGTTCAGCAGGGTTTGGGAAATCCTCTAGCCAAGGATCGCCAGGGTTCAGTGAACCCCCAAATGCCACCCCTGTCTGGCCATGCCCATCCCACCCCGCCCATCCCAAGAGTCTCCACGCAGCCCATTCCAGGTAAATGCAGGGGCCATGCGCAGGGTCTGGGAGGGCAAAAAATGGGTCTACCAGAGGTCCCGGAAGTCCAGAAACAGGCCTGTTTCCAGCCTCCGGAGGGCCTCTGGACCCAGGGGAAGCAGTTTTTGCCCTCCTGGAGGCTCATGGAAAGCCTCCAAAGCCTGGGGAGGGTGAAAAATGCCCACCACCACTACCATGGTGCAGGCGGCTGACTAGGCCACACCCACCATGGTCACGGCCACCCAGCAACTGGGCAGCGAACCCATTGGTAAAGGATCTGAAGCCCACCCCTGTGTAGAACCAAAGTCTCTATGAAGGCCCCATTATGCCCCATTATGCCCCAGTAGTCCTTCTTGGTATCATCTACATACCCAGCCTAAAATGACATTTTACTTCTTAAAATAAAACCTTTTCATTTGAAACAAAATGTGGAAACTGGCAAAGTGCTGCTTTCTAGCATCTACTTCATTTCCACTTCTGAACTTCTGAACCTGCAAAGCAGCCCCTAAAGCTTTGTTCTCTCTCTCTCTCTCTCTCTCTCTCTCTCTCTTTAAGAAACAGACTTATTGGGACGATGCAGCTAGCAATTTTGTGGTATGGCCCCCTGCCCAAAGAGAAGGAAGGGAAGAGGGAATGAAGGTAGTGCTTTGCTATTCTATAGCCGCTATTTTGTGATTAGAGACTTTGCAAATGAGCACAAAATGTATTCTTCACATTCCAGCTGTGCCCAAAATGTATTCCCAATGTTCCAACTAGCTCCCAAAGTTCTAGAACACTTTTCCCATGCATGTTCATGGGGGAAACTCTTGCTTTACTGTAACAAGGATAAATGGTCTCAAGGGATAGGCCATTATCCCTTAATGATTCTCAACAACTTCTCCCCCCCACCACCACCATTTTTTTACAGTCTTTTCACACTTCAAGTTGTAGCAGCACAGCAGTGGCAACAGCTGACACCATTTCTCCTTCCCAGAAGCATTTTGTACATGGCAGAACTGTAGAACCTCTCCACAGGGAGTTCTTGACAACTGTTCAAAGTTATGACGGCACTGAAAAAAGTGACTTACAATCAGTTCTCATACTTACAACTGTCACAACATTCTCACAGTCATGTCAGGTGCTTGGCAACTGCAGAAGTGGTATTCAGCAAGTTCTGACCAGTTCTGGAGAACCGGTAGCAGAAATTTTGAGTAGTTCAGAGAACCAGTAAATACCATCTCTGACTGGCCCCGTCCCCATCTATTCTCTGCCTCCCAAATCCCAGCTCTGCCTCCCAAATCGGGAGGAAATGGGGATTTTGCTGTAACCTTCCCCTGGAATGGAGAGGGAATGGAGATTTTATAGTATCCTTCCCCTGCAACACCCACCAAGCCACGCCCACAGAACTGGTAGTAAAAAAAATTACTGGGATGTGTCTGTGACAGTTGCAGTGTTCTGGAGACTCATGGTCATCATTTGAGACCTTCCCAGAAGGCTTCTGATAGGCAAAATTAATAGAGACACCCTGATTTGCTTATCAACTGCATTATTTGTTAAACAACTTCAGCAAAAAAAATGTCATAAAATCAGATGTGACTCACTTAACAACTCACTGGTTAGAAACAGACGTTTCAGTCCTAATTTTGGTTGTAAATCAAGGACTACCTTTATCCAAGTCCAGCTTAAATTTTCTCAAAATGCTATCCTTCTATCCTTTCATTTAATTTTGACCAGGCCCAACTCCAAAATGACCAAGCCACAAAGCAAAACAAGACAGACTCTTCAAAGTTGAGCACATATAATGTCCAATTTAAATAACAGAACATAAGGAAATGATCTTGAACATCTTAAAGTCCAAAACCATGTATAGAACCTTTTTCTGCCCTTAAAATTTCCATATACCTTTGGGGGAAGGGAGTGAATTAGTAAATAGGCTTTTTAGACATATCTACAATGCAGTTTAAAACCACTGTCAATTATGGAGCAATGTTTTGCAGACGTTTTCCATCTGTTTTCAGGAAATTCAGAAAGCATCAAATTAAGAACAATTGGTGCTTACAATCTCACACAATTGTCAAAACCACCATTAAACAAATCGCAGACTAAATTATTATAAGCAGGAAAAGTGGGAGCTGAGGGCAATTCCCAAGGAAGTACATTCTGTACCTTGGAAGTCAGGTGACTGCAAGGTAGCCAAAATAATCAAGATGACAGTGTCCCAAGCTCAGTCTATTTTTTTTTATGTGCCTCACTTTCTTTAGTGTGCCAGATGAATGGGTCTCAGAAGGGCCCTCCCATCTTTAATGTACAAGTATTTCAAAGCATGTAAATCAAGTGATCATTATTTTACCTTTAAAGAACTGTATATTCTGTTTTAAAAACTGTCAGACGACATTCTCCATTTGAAGATGTGAGTTTGATTGACCATCTGTTTTACATACAAATGACCACTAATGTTCCAGACTGACTAGGCCCCAAACCTTCTCCAATGTGGTAAATTAGATTGGTTAAATTCAGTTTTTACTGAAATTATTATAATTATGCATACTTTTTCTCTACACATATCAATTAGCTCCAGAAAAATTTAGATAACTCTCAACTGTCTCATTTCCTTTCTCTTGATGCTGCTTTTTCATTTTTCTGGTAAAAAATCTCAGTGGTTACTTTAAACACACCCAAGCAGAACAGTGGCACAGGCTCCATGCTAGTATTACATTCATCTGTATTCAGGGTAGCTTGTCCTTTCATAGATGTGAAAGGTTCATCTTGAACTCTTCGTAACAGAACATACAAAGACTTGTTACAGTATATTCGCTGTTATTGTTAAGCAGTGGAAATCTTAAGGGTAACAAGGAAATGTCAGTAGTAAAATCAACAATGTTAAAACAGTATTCCTTATTCCATCCATGTGAGAGAATTTTAGAAAGTCAGTTTGATGTAGTGATTAAAGTGTCAGGCTACAAACCAGGAGACTATGAATTCTAATCTTGCCTTAAGGCTAAAACCAGCTGGGGATCTTGGGCCAGTCAATCTTTTTCTCAGTCCTAGGAATAAGGCTATGGGCAATCAGTTCTGAAAAAACCTTGCCAAGAAAACTCAGACATTTATCCAGGCAGTTGCCAGGAGTCAAGATTGACTCGAAGACACACACACACACACACACACACACACACAAATTTAGAGTCAGCCATGACATTATGGGTGTGAGTGGTGCGGTGGCCTAGAGGTGGAGCTCTCGCCTCACAATCAGGAGGCTGTCAGGAGTTCGATCCTTGGTAGAGGCTGGGGTGGGTTCTACTTACCTTTACTACCGGTTTGTAACGGGGCCGCGTGCGCGCGAGCAAAACTCTCTCACACGCGCGCTCTTCTGCACATGCGCAGAAGCATTTTCATCACATCAGGGTCAGTGGGTGGAGCCTACCGCTGGTTTTACTACCGGTTCTATAAAACCGGTGCGAACCGGGGGCAACCCACCACTGGTAGAGGCAGATATTTCTTTCTCTGGGCACACTGGGAATATATCTGCTGAAAAAAACCCTCTGCATTGTGACAGGAAGGGCATCCAGCCAGTAAACACTCAGCTCCATTCAGTTGCCCAGACTCCACCCTGCAAGGGATTATGGGGTTGTTAAAAGAGGATGATGATGACATTATGGATGTCTGCTAGGGGCCATAGGGGAGGAAAAGGCAAGGTAGGCAAGTGCATCTTGACACAAATACTGCAACTTATGTATCTCTCTCGGATGTTGGTGTGCAAGTACCTAAAAGTTGGTGTTTGTTTGTGACATCCCTGAGTACATGTCATGTATGTCTTATTGCAATTTTCTCCATGACATTAGACCTGTCAACCATGTGGATGTTTGATATGAGGGTACATTTGATTTAATGTATGTGAAATCTTTACTGTTTTTTGTTTTTTTAAATGAAGCTGTCATTATTATGGAGTTATATGGGGAAGGAACCATTAACAGAAGCAACCTTACTACTTTTCAAATTCCTAGTCCCCGTGACTTTCTTATATAAAATGATTTTGGGGGATTAAAGACTCATCAGGCATGCATTATTTTTGTAAAGTCAGTTTCACTTAGGAAAAAGTCAATCTTGTGTTTATTTTTAGCCTGCCAAATCAGATGAGATTGAAATATTGCTTTACCAGGTTCAAAGAACTGGAAAAGATTGCACATTGATGCAGAGCTGCTTTTTCTTTAAAAGCATAATGTGGCAGTCTGAATCATTAAGATTACCTTTTATCTCGTTTGCACATTGATGCTCAACAATTTTAGATCTCATTCTGTGCCACCATATTGCAGGTTTTACTGAACATATTAAATCAACAGAGCATCTAATCCAACACAACTGTCCTTGTGGCCAAGATAGTAAACAAGATTTGGATAAAGTTGTTTTGTTTTCCAAATAAGATGCCAGCTTTCACCCCAATCACCCCAATCACAAGTTTTGACCTTGAAATTGTCCTTTTCATTGTCTTAATTTATGATAATGTAATTCCTGTCTGCTCAGATTACAGTTTAGTCTGTCTATTAATAACATGTCCTTCGGTTACTATATTATTCTTAGTTGGTTTATCTTTCTATTTCAAAGGATCAGCACTATTGTTAACTCTTACCAATGAACATATTTGATTGATTCAAATAATATTATTATTTGAAACTTGGTTTCTCAATTTTTGGTAAGTCAGACAAGACTGATTTTTTAAAAAAGATAATATAAAATTCTAGTTCAAACTCTGTGTGTTATCAAAAATAGAATATTTCTTAATGGCGTTTTGGTGAACTGAAACAAATGAGCATTGAGATGAATTTTCATAGTAAATAAATAAATAAATAAATCTTACAATAAGTTCACTTTATTTTTCTACATCAATGTTGAATTCAGTCTGGAAGGAGGCAGGTTAGGTGAAATTCCCCTTGTCCGTATATTACTTATTACTGTTACTACAGCCCATTCATGAGCTTCATTCTTTGGATCCAACAACTGCCAGTTCCAAGAGAAGGAAAGAGAGAGAGTGAATCAGACAATCGAGAGTAAGGATCTCTTCTCCTCTTTCTGACACCACAGGTGATCAATTATTTGAGGCAGCTGCTTGGGGATATAAAGTACAATGCAATTGACTTTTTTGTGTGTGTACACATCATGCTACACATCTAGAGAATGAGTGTTACTTATATGAGGATAATCTGTGTGGCAGCTAGGACTTTCTTAAATCTTTGGTCAAATGCCAAATTCAATCTACACACATGAGAGTTGGATTAGGAGAGATTGTCATCTGCTCCTAAAATTCTGATTGGATCCTTTCAAAAACTTGTTAAAACTAATTTGTGAGGCATTTTGAAAATAACATTATTTGACGTCATGGCAACTTAATGATGCTTTTCACATATATACTCAAAATGTACAATATATACCAGAATACTTTTAATCTGGTTTCCAGTCTTTACTGGAAGACAATTGGCCATGGATATCTTCTTATCTGACTTCCTACAGAAAAGCAGGCTGTTTGAGTCTATGGATCCTGCTAATCTCTTGGCCAGGGGTGTCAAACTGGTGGCCCACGCGGCGGATGATCACGCACAGACCACTCCCACCCCAGCTCCGTGAATTGGAAAAATGTCACAAAACGTCATATGATGGCAATGTGATGCAGCGAGTTTGACACCTGTGCTTTTGGCAATTTGTGACACTATCAACCCCAGTATATTCCAGGATTGCAGTTGTAAATTAAAGGTTGGAGGAAGTATGTTTTGGTAGTTCAACTTCTATATGCTGGTTTGACCCTATACTGGTGACCATTATTTTGTCTCTAGAGCTTTTTAACTTTAATTTTACTTTATATAAAGCCACTGTGGGTGGTTAACAGATATTCTGAGTGTATTATCATTTCATTTCATATAGAATCAATATTAGGTACACCTCCAACATATTTAAAAATGCAATGTAAAGAAGAATCAAAATTCAAAAAGAAAACGGATTTGGATAAGGGATGCGGAAGAAGGACAAAAGTTACAATGTTAAAACAGATGATTTAATAAGAAAAGATTCCACTTTTAGTATTTGAAAGAAAAAATGCATAATCTAATGGTAAAAACATAACCATCATATCTGCATTTCTCATTAAAAGACTTTTCACATCTATCTTTCTAGCAGAATAATGACATTTTACTTTCCGTTATAAGACAGGAGGAAGGAAATAAACTTGAGCATTAGAATAGAGGTGAAAGTCAATGTCAATGGTGCAAGAGAAAAATAAAAGATACCCCAAAAATGAATTATTCTAATTTTTTTTCAAATGTAATCTTGTAATAGAAAATTATTTGCTAAAATTGCCTGCCATGGGGGGGGAAGTAATTACATACCTAATCTAATAAAATAGGTTGGTCCAGTGCTTGGTAGTAGCTTTGGTTCCATAATAAAACTGGACTACAAGTTCCACCATCTCTTATTTTGGCTTACATTAGCTGGTACCTCTGACCCTTCAAGAAGTAACCACATTTTTAAAAAATCTATGTTTACCTACCTGTACTTTCCTTCACCCAGTATTCTCTTAGAACTACTTTGCTGATTTCCTTTATCTGTTCTTCAGATAATTGCTCATTAATATCAGGAATAACTTTCATTATTTTATAGACAGCCTCATGTTCTTCTTCAGTTCTTAAAATAGGTCTGCAGGAAAAACACGCATAGAAAATAATAGCACCCCTCTTGTTCTATAGTTGCATAGATCAACTAATTTGCCCAGGATCTGAGAAACTTTAAACCAGGTATCAAGAATTTGTGTCACTTACTAAACCCACAATTCTTAGCTGTACCAGTTAGAGTGCTGGGTACTAAAAATAAAAATTCAGCAAGATAAGGAGGACTGGATATTTCTCACCTTGTTTTCTAGAGGTTAGTAAGGAATACAAATATCTGTGTGTTTATTAGGAGAACTGAATTTCACAACTTGATTTGAATGGGGCCCAATGTTCAGTTGGGGCATTCTAATTTAATAGACTGGTGTGATGGGAGAATTAAGTCATTCCTAGATTTTCTTTTAAATTATTTGCATCCTTAAGCAATGGGTTCTGCAGAGGCTAACTGTTCTGACATCTAAGAAATACCATTACCGTCATGTCTGAGAGCAAAGTGCTATTAAAACTTTATTTTATTCCTTATTTCCCCTATCACAGGACTTTAGTATTTTAATCCAAGACTTTCACTGGACTCAAACTGTAACCTGCTTTAGAGAAATATCAGTAACGGCAGATGTAGTCGTCCTAGTAACTATAACGTATAAAATAAATATACCAATTTTTTGCTAAATGATTCAGTAATTACAATAATATTCTATTATGTCAGGCAGAGAGGGAATGAAGAGATTAAGTGGTTTTTTTTTCCTTTAAAAATTGCAATTCCTCTATTGTACTATTTTATTATACTGTGGCAAGTAATTTGGGTCTAACCCTGTCATTCAGGTTTGCAATCCCCCCCTTTAAATAATTTTAATAAGTACAATTTAAAGCATTGCAGATGCTTTCAGCTGCTACTGAAAAGCTGGCTAGATATGCATGTATTTATCCTCCAACTCAAGCTACCTCCACCAATGGATTCCCAAGTGTGATTTTATGTGGCTGAAAACCAACCTTGAAGACCACTGGGTGATTGTTGAGTAGGGAAATAGATGGTCAAAAAGTCACACACCATTTCTTTCCAATCCACCCTTATCAAAAAACCAAAATCCCCCTTCCCTCTTTTCTTAAATGAAAAAAAGCTGGTTTGTGCCTGATAAAATGTCACACCAGTATGTGGCACCTCTCTTTTACAAAGAGAGAAATTGCACCAAAGGAAAAATGGAATTCATAATTTACTGTATGCTTAAAGATACAACAAATTGAGCCTCTTTGGAAACAATATCATTCAGTAATCAATATGGATGCCAGCAGCCATCAGTGCTTAGCCTTCTCACATGCTTATGTTATGGGCATACATATCTAGTTGAAGAGAGGTCAGAAGAGCAAAGATTCAGGTTGCTAGTAAAAATCTTCCATTTCATCTAAAAAAGCCTTGTTTCAAACAGAATAATATCAAAATGAGAAAAGAAGTATAGCATAGCAATTTAGTGTTCCAAATTATAGTATTTAGGGCTTGAAACTGGACATTTCTCCAGGAATTCAAAGGAACACTTTGTACAGTCCACCATTGCCAAAAAAAAAAGCAGCTTTTGCCACTCTTAATTATAAGCTCTTGAAATGCCACAATGCTTAGCAATTATAGGATATGCCACACGAACTGTGTCTCCACATCACCTGAGATTCTGAATGCCAGAGGCTAAGCCGGTATTCATATTTACAGATGCAACAACTAAAGTGGTGAGAAATGTTGGTGACAATAATAGAATTTCAACTATAGAATCTTTTTGCAATTCAACAGTAGTTCCAGAGGATTCAGTTCACTCAAATCACCCCCTAACTGAACTGGGGTATAATTACATATCTCTGTCAGAATGGAGGATATGCAACCACTATTTCTGAGGTCAGTGCTTCTCAACCTTGGCTGCTTGAAGATCTGTGGACTTCAACTCCCATAACTCCCTAGCCATCATTACTGAATATCTTCAAGCTGCCAAGCTTGAGAAATACTAATATTGAGTCCAGAATTATTGCCCAAAACCTAAACACTCTGTAGTGAACTGGTACTATATCAGCAACAAACTATAAATGATGGTTACCTCCATCATTGCAGTTATCACTTTAACTTGGTTTTTTAAAGTTTTGGTATTGTTGTTTACTGACATCTAAAAGATATCTTTCTTTTCCTGCATCCACTAGACTGAAAGGAAAGTTATAAATGCTAAGAGACATAGTAACTAGCCACCCCAACCAGCTACCATCCAGTTGTAATATATTGAAAACAAAAATTGAACTTGATTCTTTAACTTTAATAGTTAAACCATGAACAGGCTTACGGAGGAAAAAAGCTCCAGATAAACTGCTCTTTGATTTAGTTGTTTATCCACCTAGGGGATTCTGGTAACACAGACATGGAAGGTATATTTTGGGGATTAGTAATTCTGGAGCACTAAGGGATTTGGTACCTAGAGCAGTTTTTCTCAAGCTCAGCAATTTTAAGATAGGTGGCCTTCAATTCACACAATTCTGATTGAGGAATTGTGGGAATTGATGTCCATACCTCTTATAGTTGCTGAGGTTGAAAAACACTGCTTTAGGACAGGGCTGTCAAACTGCTGGAAAATGAGCTGGATGCATCATGTGCTGGCCACACCCACACCCGGTTTAGCAAAGGTGGAAAAAGTCCTGATACATCATGTGATGCCGCCATGACAAGGTGAGTTTGACACCCCTGCTTTAGAGTATCCTACTTTTATACAGGCTTGAGTGCCATATATTGCTCCAGACTGATTCCAGGTGACCCAGATTTTCAGAGATAATTCAGCCAAACCCAAAATTACCAAGGAAGATTTTAACTCCTTCAGCAAAGCCATTAAAAAATTAATCTCAGAAAGGGCAGTCCAATTTGCTCAAATGCCCTATGTTTTTCCTCCTTGAAATATAGCAATCTGTACAGATATAGATATGTCAAATATAGCAATCAGATGGCAAAAATCTAATCTTCTGGCATTTTATCCTCAGATAAACAGCAGGATGTTGTTAGTTACTGAGCTGTCAACAAAAGTGTGGAGCAGCAAAGAAGTCATATAAAAAATTCATTGGAATCTGGCCAATGAATGAATGAATTAATTAATTAATTAATTAATTAATTAAGTCTTGTCTTAATATTTTGAAGCTGTAGGGGTTTTGGTTAAGAACAACAGGTTTCTGATGAACTTCGGCAAAATTGAATGATCTTGGGTTTTGTTGTGGCTTCCAGATCTGGGAATTTATTTATTTATTTATTTATTTATTTATTTATTTATTTATTTATTTAAATTTGATTTATATGCCGCCCTTCTCTGGAGACTCAGGGCGGCTTACAATGCGTTAAGCAATAGCCTTCATACTTTTGTATATTTATACAAAGTCAGCTTATTGCCCCCACAAACTGGGTCCTCAATTTACCTACCTTAGAAAGGATGGAAGGCTGAGTCAACCTTGAGCCTGGGGAGATTCGAACTTGCAGTAATTGCAGGCAGCTGAATGTTAATAACAGGCTATTAGTCTGCTGCGCCACCAGGCTCTATTTACCATCTTTGCTGCTGGATCTTTGCACTGTTCCAAATAGATCTTGGGCACAATCTGGGGTCTTTCTGGACTCACAACTCCTGCTCAAACAGCAGGTAGCAATCATGGCCTAGAAAACCTTTCCTTAAGTTGTGCACCAGTTGCACTTGTCCTGGAGTAAGAGACTCCATATTACCCAGAGTTACATTTGTGAGATGGGTAACTATATATTATGAACAATAATCTCATTGATTATTGGTATTTATTTTTAACACTTTATTTTGTATATGAACAGATAGTGACATTCTATATGTAATATTTTAGTAGAAAGTTATGCCAAGTGAAATGTGTATCCATGAGATGAAGGCATTTATATAATATGATAACCAGGTGGAAATGATTTAAAGTGAAAATGAAGGAAACATTTTGGAAAATTAAAATGAACCATAAACTAACTCAAACTACACACCTATAAGATATAAAAATCTACTAAACTCCATGCTTTTATTAAAATATAGAATAAAATATTCAAGAATAAGGTTTAAAATGCCAGCATACATTTTTATTGCAATATTATGCAATTATATTTGACTCTATATGGTTAGTGAGGTATTAAAAATCTCTAGTTTTACAGCAATAGAATATGTGGTGAGCCATAAAACCATGTTAAACATCTGATCTAAATTGTGTTTGACTAGTATACTTTGGAAACTGTCAACTATTATTCACACATTAGTGGTGGTTTGAATGGTATTAGGCTTGACTCATAAATATGCAGTAATGACATTTTAGATTTTCCCTGGCTATGGGAAGAGATTCCTGCAGCTCAGCCTGCATTATAAATTCAATGGTCTTGCTTCCAAATAAATATTCACACCTTTGCACAATCATAATACAAACATAGGCATTTTTATTTACAAGATTAAAATTATACAGGGATTTATAAGCCACTTCTTAAGATGAAATGTTAAGAAAATAACATACACAAAAGGAATCATACTGTATGGTGATTTTATAAAATACAGGAGATTGATGCAAAAGAGGCATGTTTCAGATCACAAGAGACAAGAAATATGTATCTGTGTATATTCAATCGGCCTTCAAGGTCACTCACAAATCAGTTATACAAAGGGTTACATTAGAGTCAAAAAGAAAAAAAGAAAAAAATTTGAGAGGGGAACAATAATTCTGCTCTATTGCTGGCAGTTAGTGGGAGCCCACATCATTCTAGTTCAGAGACTGTTGAATGCTTGCTTAGGGGTCTATAGGGTAGGTCATACAAACCTTAGAGGAGATAGCAATAGCAATAGCACTTATATATCACTTAACAATGCTTTTCAGCCTTCTCTGAGTGTTTTACAGAGTCAGCATATTGCCCCAACAATCTGGGTCCTCTTTTTACTAAACTCAGAAGGATGGAAGGTTGAGTCAACCTTGAGCCAGTGAGACTCGAACTGCAGAACCACTAGCAGTCAGCAGTCAAGCAGAATTAGCCTGCAATACTGTACTCTAACCACTGCGCCACCATAACTCTTGAACACTATTCCATTGTGCAGATGCAGCAACAGAGAAAGCACATTGTTACGTCCAGATGGCAAGTACGAGTGGCCAATAGAGCAGCCGATTGGTCCGTGTGCCAGCAGGCAGCCGGCGGGAAATTGGTGGCTCCTGATTGGCCCAGCTACTGACAGCTGAGTATAAAAGAGCTGTCAGTGCCTCAAAATGCCACTCGCTCTCCAAGGTAGTTAGCTAAGCAGAGCGAGTCACTGTTAGCTGTTATTGTTAACCAATAAACATTTGTGTTTATCTGCCTCGCCTCCCTTCTTTAACTTTTGTTCCGCGAATAGAACGCACATCATCTTATTCTCACAAAGTGGCATTATTTAAGTGATGGGATCTGAAGTATACCAACCGCCTTGAATCTTTTTGGCTGGCCGGAAACAATTGAGAAACAGTCTCAAATCCAACAGTGGAATTTTGGAACCATGGCTGAAGAATATTTTTGAGAGGACCCATGATCTCTGATACAGATCTTAGATATTAAACATGATCACCAAAGTAAAAGAGATTGTTTAAACTATTCTAGGATTGAATAATTTAAGATGTTAGAAGTTTAACAGTAGAACTTGGGTAGAAATGCACAGAGGCAGTTCAATTAACCTAAAAGAATGTAATGCTTCATGCTTAAATTTTTTGAACCTAATGATAATCAAGATGACTAAATTTTGCACTACCTGAAGTTTTTGAAGGTAGCAAGAAGCAAAAGGTATATTGCTCTAATCCAATTTTTAAAAGGGCTCCTAATGAGTTTAGAAGCTTGAAATCATAGAACACACTACCAATGTAGATAGTGTTGACTTTAAGAACATCTTGAGCTGCATACCTGCTCCATTAGAACCAGGAGATCATGCAAGCCAAGATACCTCCCAACCTACAATTTTATATAGGTAAATTGCAGCTTTTCCCTCCTCAAGCATCTCAGTAGCATATACTGTATATTCAAAAACATTTTACTATATTGCTACAATTCAAAGGACCCAGTTGTGGGGGCAATAAGCTGACTTTGTATAAATATACAAAAGGATGAAGGCTATTGCTTAGCACATTGTAAGCCGCCCTGAGTCTCCGGAGAAGGGCGGCATATAAATAAATAAATAAATAAAAAATCAAATATACCGGTAGAAAAGAGTCACAGCTTATCAGAAGCCTTCAAATGACATGAGAATCTACCTATAGATTTTCAGAGAATAATTGTAAATTGAATCCTTCCATTTTATACAAAGTTCTGATAATAAATTCTATTGCCATCTGTTTTGATCATTCTGAGTACAAGGAAATTCAAAACCCATTCAAAGAATTGCACTTCAAGGTGAAACATATCATGGACAAGAATGGAGGTGGTACACCACTCATGAAGAGACCGGGAATGTTTCCCATTAGTCCTCTGGGGGAAGACTCTAATGCTGGGAAAAACAGAAGGAAGGAGGAGTGGAAGACCACAATGTGATAGACTCAGTTACCGAAGCGATGAGTACACCGTTGAAAGATCTAAAAGGCCAGGTTAGGGATAGATTGTCATGAGAAAAAATCTACCTATGTGCACTCAAACTGTCAACAACAATTGGATGATACATAATCATTCAATCCATGAATCCCATTCGTCCTTTCACATTTTGAACTCCAATATGTTCAGACTGAATGCCTGAACAGAGCTCTTATTTGAGCCTATCTGAGGTCAAAACCTATACAGCTGCTTGCTGTCATTAGTCCAAAGCATAAGGTCTATGTAAAGATATTCACCCTATAACTATCAACCTCTGCATTCCTTCCTACAGATGTGGCAGGTCCTTTATACATCCAAGTTCACTGAGCCCTAGTAATAACTGGTGGGTACTCATTTATGAAATAGATGCACATATGCCATTCACTTAAGAAGCATTTCATAATGCGTGAACCAGGCAAATCATTTTTTCATCTATCCTATAATTATATGTTTATTATGTTTTTTAAAAGGTTGAAATGAAAGAATTCTAATCAAAAAATTCTAATTAGGTGAAAATTACTCTCTTATTCTGTAATTTTATGATCTAAATTATTACAACTGTGTGTCATTATAAAGATTTAAAATAACCTCTCCTCTATTATGAAACAGTTCTGAAGATTTCACATTAGTTAGAAGCAGCAAAGAATAATTATTATCAGTGTAAACTGACACTAGGATTAATTTAGAAAGGTGCTGTAGTGAAGTTCCTATAGTTTTGTGACAACTGTGATTAGATTTCTATTTCACCTTATGTATAGGAGATTCTCAGATGATTTGGAGAGGTTATAAAAGAAATATCTCTTTTCAAACTTTGTAACCTTCTGACTTCTCCTATGATTTTGACATCAATCTTGTGTATCACTTGGAGAATGTCTTCATAAAGACAAAGCTTATATGGCTATAAACTGTCCTAGACTGGTTCATTTCTTATTGCAAACATTTAAATCTGGAACAAGGCAGCATTGATTCCTATATATGTTGCAAAATAATATTGCAAAACTTTATCACGGTTTCTTCTCTGGCAGCATTACAGTTTGCTAAACAATTCTGTTTAGCAAATGGGTCAAATATACATTTCTTTATATATTGTTATATATATAACAAAGAGAGGCTTTGTTCTCTCAATATGGTTTAGTATAGAGATATAAATATAAATGTCCCTGAAGGTTCAGTATACTCATATAGTTCATATGTCTTTAAATTACTCCTTGGTAAAGAGTAGTTTGCTTGAATGATAGATAGGTAGCCAAGTAAATTGCTGCATTTTTGAACAAGCAAGCAAGGAAGTCTGAACAGATTCCACTCAAAAGGATGTTTTATAAAATCAGAGCTAATTCTATACTATTCTGTGCAGCTGCTCAAATCAAAATTTCTTCTAGAATGAATGCATTTTACTTCACTGTAGTTAGAAATGCATAAAGAACAGCAGGCAGTGGGCAACTTCCCTGGGTCTTGATTGTCTGCTTTAAGAATGCATTTATTTATGTATAATAGATAATATCATGTCTTCTATAAGTACTAAGCACATCCCCAAAAGTAAGACTTGTCTAAGAATACATAGACTGAAAACAAGTTCATGAGGGCAAAGACCAGTTAGTCACATCAAAACAGAACCTGAGTTTAAAATCCATCCTCCGAAATATTAAAAGCAATGTGGTCTCCGAGATGGTGATCAATAGTCTATCAGCAACAAGCGGCTTTAGCTATTTTGTATGTGCCTTTCAAAACTCCCTGTAATCACATCATGACATTTGATGGAAAATTAGTCAGAATTTCTTTCTACCCTTCAGCAATGAACAACAGAAACAAAGTGAAAAGGTGCTTTAACCTACATAAAAGCAAAACATACACTTTAAACTCCATCCCACTCTCACCAGTATGGTGTTATTGTACTATTAGTCCTCTCAGCATGTCTCTTTGCGACAAAAAAAAGATAATAGGATGTCGCTGACATTCAAAAGTTTATAAAAGTCTTAAAATGCCTGAAAAAAATAAAAGTACTTGCATAGTGTCATAAGACCCGAGAACCTTCAAAAGGAAGTAATTCCGCAAATAGGTTGGGAAAATTTCCCACCAAAAAAGCCCTCAGCCCGAGAATGCTTCTGATCTATAGCCCAGAAATGTGTAATAAAAATATTGGCACTGCTGCTACTCTCATACAACTTCACAGCATCAATTTTCTGAATATACAATTTCCACAAAATGCTGGTGCTTTTGCTTAATCAGGTAGCTGATATCTGGCCTACTAATGTAGTCCAGGAAAAAGTAGCAAAGAAGAAAATCAAGGGAAAGTAAGATGGGAAAAGTATAGAAAGGGAAAGGAGGGGAAAGGGACATAAGTAAAGAAGCCACGAAATGTCTAGGACAAAAACTCAAGGAAGTAAAAGAAGATCTGGGAAACCTAGCTGAGATATTGAAGAACAACCATGTTAATCTATCTGTTAACAAGTATATAAATCTACACCTCTTATAAAAGAATGGCAAACCACAATTTTGCCAAGAAAACTGCAAGGATGTATCCAGGCACTTGCCAGAGTCAACACTGACTCAAAGACACACACAAACACTCTCCAAACACCTGCCTCAGAGGTGGTACTCAGCAGGTTCTGACCAGTTCTGGAGAACCGGTAGTGGAAATTTTGACTAGTTCGGAGAATCAGTAAATGCCACCTCTGACTGGCCCCGCCCCCATCTATTCTCTGCCTCCCGAGTCCCAGCTGATCGGGAGGAAATGGGGATTTTGCAGTAACATTCCCCTGGAGTGGGTTGGGAATGGCGATTTTACAATATCCTTCCCCTGCCACGCGCACCAAACCACGCCCACCAAGCCACACCCACAGAATCGGTAGTAAAAAAATTTGAATCCCACCACTGGCCTGCCTATCACTACTTCCAATACTGGGCCTGGTGGCTCAACAGACTGATAGCATTGTGATTAACACCAGCTGTCTGCAGTTACTGTAAGTTCGACTCTCACCAGGCTCAAGGTTGACTCAGCCTTCCATCCTTTCTAAGGTAGGTAAATTGAGGACCCAGTTTGTGGGGGCAATAAACTGACTTTGTATAAATATACAAAAGTATGAAGGCTATTGCTTAACGCATGGTAAGCCGCCCTGAGTCTCCGGAGAAGGGCGGCATATAAATCATTTTTTTTAAAAAAAAGAGTGTCTGTTGTTCAGGAATAATCTTGTACTTCCGTGGAATCCAGGAACTAAGTCAACATTCAACCTTCCTTCATCTTGGTCAGCCTTTTTCTCAAATCCAGGTTGCAATGCTTGTATGCCTACCGGATCTTTTTCTTGAAATAATGAAAACATAATGATGTACAGTTTATTTTAAAGCTATAGGTGCGCAAAAATGATGGTCGGTGGGGGATGTTCCTTCTGTGGAGGAACCAGAACATGCCGCAAGGATTTATGATTTTCTTCCATTTCCCTGAAACAGCACCAGAACTAACCACTTGAAAATGTTCTCTAAAAATAGCAGCTGCTATTTTTGATGAAATTAAATATGCAAGGGACTTCTCTGACAGAGTTCAGAGGAACATGGTATTTGCGATCATCACATGTTAGGCAGGAAAGAAAACAGCACATTATAGCAAAAGACTGCATTCGGCCATAGGTATGTGTACAGTATATGATAGATCTAATGGGTGCACATTTGAAAATCTACCTAACAACTAAGAGGGAATTATGAATGGATGTGTTTGGCTTTTATGACTACTCTTCTTATGCACAGCAGCTTGCTTAATAGCTCTATTTTGTTT